ACCCTGAGCCGGTGAGATTTGAACCGCTGACCTGCTGATCTAGCAGTAGCCTGCAGTGCTGCATTTAACCACTGCGCCACCTTGGCTCTGTGAAGAAACAGAGCTACTCATCCAGGAGAACACACAAGTTACAAATTTGTCCTTTTCTCTTTCCTTTACTTCTCATGAGCCACCACTAGACCATGCAGAGAATGATGGTGAATAAACAGTTACTTCATCTTGCTCCAAACTGAAAGAGACAGGGCTTTAGATCATCAACCCAACCTGAAGTAGTGATGTAAATCAGCATATTGCAATTTGATGATAATGGATTCAATCTGCTGAACCACCCCTCCTAGTACACCATGTAAATATTAAATAGGAGTAAAGAGAAGACTGACCACTGAATCCACCTCTCCTTCACTCCAGGACTAAAATCAGCCACTGAGGAAAGAGCAGAAATACTGTAACCTCCAATCCCCAACATTACCCCAATGCAAGTAGTCCAGAAGGATACTATGGTTGATAGTATCAATTTTTTTTATCTTTGATATGTTTTTAATTCAATATTTTATTTAGATTCTGAAAATGCTCAACAGCAATACAGAGAGCCCTTACTTGATCTGGAATAATCGGACAAGAATTGAACTCCTTGAATTCTTGGAATCTCAGCAAGAAAGCATGATTAAAACAGTGAGGCATTTTTTTCAAAATTGATAGGATGGCATGTTGGGGGATTAAGTTTGATACTGTAAGGTGCATATGCATGAATAAATTCTTTTCAGATGTACTGGGCTATAATGTATATTGATTATTTTAATATGAAAAACTTTGTGAATAGCATCTTGAGTTTTTCAATGTTTTTGCTCAACAAACTATATATCTAAATTTGTTGAACATGATTATATGTTTTTTGTAGATATTTTTATAATGACGCATACAGATATATTAATATACAGTGAAACTTCCATTTAATAGGCAAATGAATCTTGAATACAGCAGAATGTATTCAAGAAACAAATCTTGAAATAATAAAAAGGTTCCATCCAAAATAATTTGGAAAAAGCATTTAAATCTATTAATTTGACATCATATACAGCAATTTTTATCATTTGCATAATGACATTATTACATGCATGGCATAAATGCAAATCCGTGATGTCATTGCACAAAGGCAGTAAGTGGCATAATTTGTGATTTAATTAACTAACATTTGGAAATACATCCACTTCCCACCAATTAATCTATTAAATTGAAATTTTACTGTATTTCTTGTATAGTTTAAAATTGTTGGTATTTTTGTTTGTCTTCCAATATCTACATTCAAAAGTAATAGAGATGAGCATACCTCCTGTTTTTATCTGTCTACAATGCTAGTCTCTTATGAAGTAAGCAAGAAGTAAGATTCTGAAATCAACTGCAGGTAGGTAGTCCTTGACTTACAACCACAATTGAGACTGGAATTTTGGTTGTAGTAGTCATAAATCAAGGCACCCACTGACTACATCCCATTTTACAACTCTTTTTAGTGAATAATGGGATCATAAGTCCGAATCACATAGTTGTTAAGCAAATGACACAATCATAAATACAAATTCTCTGAATAGGTAGTTTCTGCCACAAATTGATAAAACTGTTTTGCAGGATACTGCAACCAGTTGAAAATGTGAACTGGTTGCCAAGCACCCAAAATGCTTGGGCGGGATGTGTGTGTGTGCAATATTTTTATGATACTGTTAAGTACATTATGGGCAGTAAAGCACCTATTCCAAGGGACCAGTCATAAATCAAGGGCTATCTATATCATTTTCATAATTTCAGATATATTTATAATAGAGATTATACTGCTTTTAAATCAATTTTCATTTAAGATTTTTCATTACAGCAACCAGTAAATCATTTTTAAGAGTATAATTCATTAAGTACAAATTCTGATGTAATATTTTTATTTCTAAAGGGTGAATGTGATAAAAGTTATGGATCTGAATTTATCTTCAGTGATCACGCAAAAGAACTTATTGTAGGAGAGATTTTTGTTAGAGTTTACAATGAAGTTCCCACATTCCAGTTAGAGGTAAGAGTCTTTAGGTTGAAAATAGAGATGTTGATAAACAAATTATTTATAAGAATCACATATTTTAGAACAGACAGGTAATTTAGTAATCTCCAGAATTTTGGTATTCAATTCCTATCAGCCATAACTAATATGATATATGGGGTTTCCAAGTGTCTGGAGAATATCATTTTGATTATTTAGGTTATAAAAATCATTTGGTTGCCTAATAAAGTTAAGAAAGGATGGTAGTCTATTATAAAAATGTATTTTGTTTATGCCTTAACTCAACTTGTGTAAAGTTTTAAAAAGATGTTTTCTTTTTATTTACCTATTGAAACTTAATTCTTGTATTATCCTGCAGCTTCCAAAAGCATTTGCTGCAAGCCTTTTGGATTATGTAGGGTCACAAGCCCAGTATCTGCATACGTTAATGGCCATAACTCAGACAGGGAAAGTTGAATCTAACCAACATGGAGAACGACTCAGAAGAGTTGAAATGGCTCTGGAAGCCCTGAGAAATGTGATAAAGCACAACCCAGGTAAGTGAGGCGTGCTGGACATTTTTTAAAGAGGTGTGTGTGTGTGTGTGTGTGTGTGTGAGAGAGAGAGAGAGAGAGAGAGAGTATGTTTATACATACACATACCTACATTCTCCGTTTTAAAAAAAATCTGGGAATTTAGATGCAAACTCAATTATATATCTTATCAATAAATGACAGTTCAATTTTAATGAAGTCTTTAAAAATTATTCATTAAAATTCCTTTTTTTATTTTTTTTTTTTTTTTTTTTCAGAACTTTTTTATTTTTCTTTAGGAA